GCGTGTGTGGATTTGAATCAATCAGTCGAAAGCCCCAGGACTGACGGACGGACGGGACGTTTTTCGTCCTCTTTCTCAGCCTTCGGCCGAGATTTGGACTAGGAGGGTGGGGAATATTTTGGATTTGAGCTGTTTTGTGTCCCAGGGCCAAATCCAGCCTTGCAGGGCCAGAGAGAAGCAGCTTCTTTTACTCAGGGGAGGGACATGGCTCTTGGGCCCTTTTGAGGAGGGAAACGGAGTTGGGGGGCTCAAGTTCCTGCCTTTCTTATGGCCGCTGCCTTCGCGGCTCCCGCCGGGGTGCTGAGGACGTGCTCTGGAGCACGTGGCTGCTGGGGAGCCGGACGAAGGAGGAGGCCGGCTGGATCCAACCGCCGCCACCGCTGCCTCGTCCAGGGTGAGGCCCAGCATGCAGGAGGGTGGGCAGGGTGCATGCCGACCCTCCGTGAGGGCTTTTCAATGGGGCCAGCGGCTTCCGTGGGTCCTGGTCCACAGTGACGGGTGGGGGGTTGTGAGGCAAGTGGGGAGAGAAAACAGCCCAGTTATTCAAAGAACTGGCAATTCGCTGATACGTAGAGGCTGCTTAGAGAGGGACGGAAGCGGTACACATAATCCTCGACTTATGACCCTAATTGAGCCAAAACTTTATATTGCTAAATGAAAAAAATGTGTTAACTGAGTTTTGCCCCATTTTACAACCTTTCCTGCCCCTTTTGTTAAGTGAATCTCTGCAGCTGCTAAATGAGTAACCCAGTCGTTAAGTGAATCGGGCTTTCCCATTGACTTCGCTTGTCAGAAGGTCCCAAAAGGTGACCCACCTGGCCCTGGGACGCTGCGACCGTCATGAATGTGAGCCAGTTGTCAATCATCCGAATGAAAATCACATGGCCATGGGGGATGCTGAAATAGTCATAAGCGTGAAAAATGGTCGTGCCACTTTTCTCAGTGCCTTTACAACTTTGAATGGTCACTGAATGGACTGTTGTAAGTCGAGGATTACCTGTCTAGATGTCTAAGTGCTGTTGCCACCCTCCCTAGGCCAACGGGGAGGGATTAGATCAGCGTTTCTCAACCTGGCCGACTTTAAGTCCCATGGACTTCAACTCCCAGAATCCCCCAGCCAGCTCTGCTGGCTGGGGGATTCTGGGAGTTGAAGTCCATGGGACTTAAAGTCGGCCAGGTTGAGAAACACTGGATTAGATGGACCCAGCCTCCTTCATGACTGATGAGAGGGCTGACCCAGATGTGTCACTGCTGGCTGGGCACTCAGCTGTGTGTGTGTGTATGCGTGCGTGTGCGTGCGTGCGTGCGTGCATGCGTGTGTGCGTGCAGCCAGGTTTCAGGGGCACCATAGTCCTAGAGCAGGGCAGGAGAGAGGATTTGAGGACCCATCAAAGAGGCCGGACTGCTCTGTGGAGAAATGGGTGTGAGGGCACCCCCCCCCCCACTGCCTCCTCCCCTACCTGAGCTGCGGGGTCTCTCCGTGGCTGGCTTGGCAGTGCAGGGATGGGTCAAGTGTCTCTGGGGGCTTCAATCTGCCTTCCTGGAGGTCGGTCTGAATAATAATGGCCACTGGGGGACTTCATGAAACATGGGGGGGGGAAATATCACACACCAAATCTGGTTTTTCTCTCCCGGCAGAGGCAACCTCTGGAAGGAGAGGAGGCTGCTGTCAATCCCTTGTCCTGGGCAGATGTTTCCCCTTGCCTTCCTCTTCCTCCCTGGCTGCCCCCTTGCTGGCAATAGCAATAGCAGCAGCAGTTAGACTTATATACCGCCTCATAGGCCTTTCAGGCCTCTCTAAGCGGTTTACAGAGAGTCAGCATATTGCCCCCAACAATCTGGGTCCTCATTTTACCCACCTCGGAAGGATGGAAGGCTGAGTCAACCCTGAGCCGGTGAGATTTGAACAGCCGAACTGCAGAACTGCAGTCAGCTGAAATAGCCTGCAGTGCTGCATTTAACCACTGCGCCACCTTGGCTCACCTTGGCAGGAGGAGGAAGGCCCTGCTTGATGTTTAATGGACCCCGTAGAAGGAGCCTGTCCTCAAGGTCCCCCCCCCTGATCCCCTGGGCTGCTTGGAGTCAGTGGGTGGATCACAAGAGGGGGGGGCTCTTGCTGCTTTCTGGCCCCAGGGAGCCCCTCGGAAGAGGCATCCAGACGGGGACCAGAGCTGACTCGATGGCGGCCAGAGCAGCAGAAGAGAGATTCCTGGGCCTTGTGGTCTCTTTGGGCTGCTGGCTGACTAAGGTGACCTCTCGGGTGGGGAGGGGCTGGGAAGCCCCTGGAAGGTTGCTGCAGATAAAGCCCCTCTGGGATCCGCTCTGAGCTGGATTATCTGGACCCTTCCTGGAGATCTGTGGCTGCCCCCCTGACAGAATGGAGGTCGCCAGAGCTACCCACCAGGGGATCCTGGAGAGGTTCGGGGGCTGAGGTGGGGAGTGGGGGGCCAGGTGCCTTTTGGGGGGAGGGAGGGAGGGGCCCAGAGCTTCACTCATCCTCCCTCCCTGCTTAGCATCCCCGTGAAGCTGCTGGATGACGCCTGAGGGTCCTTCCCAAAGAAAGCCGTGCAGGTGGTGGGAGGGGGCCCTGCCTCTGCTCACATGGGCCGCACTTGCTCCGGGGAACTTTCGGGATGAGGCCACAGGCCTGCCTCTCTCTCCCCCCCCCCCCCAATTGCTCAGGTCCCTTTCTGGGCTCTGGGGGCATCTCTGAGCTTTGCCCTGTGGAGCCCCCCGGAGGCTGGGAGGGCTCTGGCCCTCTTAGCTGCTTGGGGGGCTGGGAACCACCCCCACCCCGGAGGGGGCTGGTAACTGAGGCCACTTTGTCTGTTACTCCCAGCCCCTCAGCTGCTTCTGCAGGATGCTTAGGTTGGATCACGGTGGGCGAACTGGGTTATTTTATCCTTTTTCGCTGGCTGCTTCTACTGATATTCTGCACCCAGAATAACCTCTTTGCAGTTTCAGTTATGAAGCGACTGGACCTTTGCAGGGTTCCTGGCAGCTGTGAGGAGCAGAGAAAGTTCTTGGGAGGTTGGGAGGGTCTTCGGAGCCCCGAGTGAATGGAGGCTCCCTGTGAAGGAGGGCCCTGCAGCTGCAGCCCCCTTCCCTCCCTTCCCCTCGGGACAGAGCTGGGGGGGGGAGGGGAGGGGGCTGGAGCCCCCAGCTATGAGGGTTGGGTTCCAGCTGCTCACCTGCCCCCCCCCCCCAGAGCCAGGGGAGGCGTCTGTCCTGCAGGTGGCTGCCCTGGTTGACCTCCCTGCTCACCGCAGATGCACCCACTGGCCTCCTCCGGACCAGCCCGGCTGATTCTGGCGCAGCTTGGAGGGAGGCGCCTGGGTGGCGGGATGTCCTGGAGGCGGCTGCACGGAGAGCCTGGCTTCAGTGGGCGTCCTGGCAAGATTAGCGTCTAATCCTCCCTTGAGCCAGAGGCGGCTGAGCTGCAGCAGGTCCTCACCGCTGGCATTGCCCCAGAAAGGAGGCCGCAGCGGAATGAGCGCTGGGGGTGGGCAGGACAGGAGTCTCTGCCTCACTGGGGCAGAGCCCCACTGCGCTGGGACCTGCCACCCGACGGCACTCGCAGGAGTCGCAGAGCGGGTGTCAGCCTTGGCACCTCCGAAAGGCAGCGGGGCCTTGTGCCAGGCCGGGACCCGTGGCCATGCCTCCCGGCAAAGAGCTTACGTCCCAGAGGGAGAGGATTTGGCGGCCTCTTAGTCTTGAAAGGTTAATAATGCCTCTCCCAGCCGAAAGGGCAGGCGGAGGGAGAGAGTCCACCCCGGGCTCAGTTCCTGGCAGGGTCCGGGGGTCTCATTCTGCAAAGACCCCACTGGCCGCCCTAAAGCCGAATTCAAAGCCAGCCCAGCTGACCCTCGGAAGCGAAGAGGAAGCTCCCTAGGAGCTGGGTTCAAATTCCCTCCCGGCCGAGCCGCAGGATTGGCTGCCTACTCCTGGAATCTGTGACTGAATGAACCAGGCTGCATGAATGTTGCCCCACCGGGAGGGCCTGCTCCCTTCAGGGCCCACGCCCCAGTGATGGCGGGGGGAGGGGGGTGCCTCCCCGGCTCTCCCATCCTGTCATTGTGCCATGGAGTTTGGCAAAGAAGAGTGGCTGCACACACGCACATGGGGACAGGAGTCACCAGAAGCTTCTTGTGGGACTCCATAGTTTTGCCTTCTCTGTCCCCCCTTTGATGGGTTGATTGTGGACTCGCATCCCCTGGTGCCTTGGAGTCGCATTCCGCTGCCCGGTTGTGGGATTGTCTCCCAAACAATTGTGCAAAGCAGAAATAAATTTCAAAGTAACGCA